CGTAAAGAAATTTTTCCTAATTTCCAACCTAAACCTCCCCTGGCGCAGCTTAAGCCCATTTCCTCTCGTCCTATCGCTAGCTACTTGGGAGAAGAGACCAACATCCACCTCACTACAACCTCCTTTCAGGTAGTTGTAGAGAGCGATAAGGTCTCTCCTCAGCCTCCTCTTCTCTAGGAGAAGAGAAGCCCACTGAACAAACTCAAAGAGTACACAAGCTATTTGGATCAGTCCTCCACAGCTGGTCACAGTCTACATTAACATTGGTTTTAGCTACAACAAAGTTACCACATTAAAAGCCAAACATAATGTTTTGTTTCAGTTTCCTCTATCTTAACTAGATATTCCGTAACTTGAAAAAACACAAGACACAAGTTCCATTTCCAAAACATGTTTCTTGAGTCGTGAATTATGTATTTTATTGCTCTGGTATTGTCTGTGTTTTCCCATCTGCAAAAGCCCAAATAACTGGACCTCAGAAACAGCTTTGTGCTAATACATAGCAACTGCAAACCCATTTTTTAATACTTAGCCCTATGTTAAATGCACGGTTTGTTATTTCACAATAAAAAGAAAAAAGAATCTAGGTATATATCCCTTATTCAAAGAATATTGCAGTGCTTGTAGCCCCCTAATTTAAGCAGAAGGATGCTATGAAAAGTTGCCTTAGTAACAAGCCTAAGCTACTTAACATTGCTAGAGATTAAAACAGTAGCACCATTATTGCTGGTGAAAGCTAAGGATGGGACCTGTTTATTAATAATTTCTTTAGTACCTGTCATACCACAATAGGCAAGCTAGACCCCACAAGACCACTATGTCTGTGTCTTTCAGTTCCATCATACCAGTGTATTTTTAAGGACAGCATCTGGTTCCCAGTATGGCCACCTTGAGGACATTTGGAAGCTGAGGTTGTTCACTCACATGGGAACATCCTCTGGCACCTCATATGTCAGACAGCATTCTAGTAGGTGAAACAAGGAAGCACCTGAAGTATGCCAGGTACAGGGTGAACCTACAGGTGATTGCCATTCAAAATTAATACAAACTTAGTTGAAAGACCTATTTGACAGAAATCCGTTCTTTTTTTACTTGTACTGTAGGCAAATGTTTCCTCTTATCTGCACAGAAATCTTGGTCTGCTGCAATAACACCTTCCTAGAGAGGTTAACAGATTTAACTGGCTTGTTAACGTAGGTAACACAGGTGAAGGTGGTACTTTTGGCTTACATCCAAATACATTTTTCCACTTCAATAATCATCTTTTTTTTTTTATGGCAGGAAATCATTGCTGCAGACTCTATGAAAACAGAGCAAAGACGGTGCCTGTCCAACATAGAGAAACCTCCTCTTTATCACAGAGTGTATTTTTCTGCAGGGTTAAACAAGTAGAAGAAAAAGCAGTTGCCATGTAAAACACCTCTTAGCCTTCCCCCACATTACTACTATCCTAGCAAGCAGAATATACTTTAAACATTTCTGTGTGATTCACTCAGACATAAGATCAGATTAAATGTATGTTGAAAACAATAATTAGCATGCTAGTGTGCCCCCATGTTCTGCAGGTTTCAATACCGCTGCTTAGGAAGGACAGCATAATATGAAGGTCCTGATCCAACTCCAATTATCTAGATAAAGTAAGCCCTAGCCAGATATTTAATAAAAAACTATATCTGAACACATAAGTGTAGCAGCTTCTTAGAGCTGCAAATGACCTTTGAAGTAGTTTGACATTTAAAAAAAAAAAAAAAAAAAAAAATCAAACCAAAAGGTTTTTAAAGTTCCAAATAATCTTAGGAAACTTCAAGAGCATTGTAGGGAAGTGAAACAGAAGAACCTGGAAGACAAATAGATTTCCTACAGTTTCACCCTGTATCTCCTACCCCTTTGAACAAACCAGGTTATAAACATCAGACTTGTTTATAAATATTTTGGCAGTGTCTCCCACTGTTCCTGTGTATGGGACTGCAATCAGTTGTTACAATCCCAGATGTTATGCACCAAGATCTTATCACCTTATATTCTTTCTGCTATTTAGTAAT